CTTTATGTACAAATTCTTCATGTGTCATACGTATTTTAGGTAATATACGACATTCAAAACCACACATATTAAATAATAAATTAGGATTATCTTTTGAATAAACAGAAACAAAACTTGTTTCCCATAATATTGTTGTTACAGAACGTGGTAAACGATTTTTAATATCCCAAAAAACAGCACGACCTAAATTAACATCATGTTTCATTAAACGCATACGTGCATCACGTGGCCAACATTTTTTATTATTATAACCAACAATATTTTCATTATTTGGATCAGGATGTTCAGTTAAATAACGTTGTATTAAATCACGAGCTTCATCAGCTGTAAAACGAAAAAATATATGTATACGATCAATATATCGACAATAAAGACGTATTGGATGAGCTGTTTCAACAACAACTTCTTGATATGTTAAAAAATCATTTGGTGTTTGTGGTAAACCAGCCATATCTGATGCACGTTGTAAACCTAATACTAATAAATCAAGTACAAGACCATAATATTGTACAACAAATGATGCAAATTGTAAACCACGTATAATACCATAAGAATTAACATGATTCATATCTTTATAATTAAGTACAATATTATTTTTTGCTGTCATATAATCAGCTATATTATGATCAACAATAAGACGAAGTAAACGATTTAATAATGTAAGATCAATTTTTTCATATAATTTTTCAAAATGAGATTCAAGCATTACATTACATTCACCTTCATTTGTATCCCATATATCTTGTAGATTATTTATACCTTTATGAAAATAAATAAATTATTATTAAATTTAATATTAAACAAAAAAAGAATATATTTTACCTTGACACCATTTATAAACAAGTAATGGTGGTGGTTCACTATCAGCTGGTTTAATCCATGCTGGAAAAAGTCGACGTTTATCAGCTTCATACCATAAATATTGATCTAAATAAGCATCGGTAATTTTTTCTAATGGTTCAACATCATAAACCGGTATTAAATGACTATATAAATCCATAAATTCAATTCCACATTCTTTAAATGCACGTTGTGTTAAAAGATGTCGTTTAATACGTGATAATGCTTCATGTGGATTATCATATGCTTGTTCAATTAAACCTAATTCTTCACGTTGTGATTGATTTAATCTTGATTTAACACTATATGCTTCTTTTAAACGTTCTAATGCTAATATAAGTAATTTTGTATCATGTTTATATGCTAATGGTGGAAATGGTATTGGTGAAAAACGTCGTGATTCAAGCCAATGTACAACAGTTGTATAAATAGCAACAGCTTCTTCAGCTGTTATATATGGACCATCTTTAAGATAATTATGTTGTCGTTCTTGTTCAGCTTTTAAATAAAGACGTGTTAAACGTCCTAAATTTTTTTTACAAACAGTTTTATCAACAGTAGCACCACGTCTTATACGTTCACGATTATAATGTGCTGTTGATGTCCACCAATCAGCTTTAGCTTTAACATAACGTAATATCATATTTTCAATTGGTATAGGTAAACCAGGTACTTTCCATGGTATATTTGCTTTCCAACAACGCCATGCTTCACTTAAATGTTGTAATATTGTTCGTGCTTTATTTTGTTTAATACTTTCAGGCATCATATCTAATATATCATGCATAACAGCAGCACGTAATTCCAAATCATAATGTGATTCAACACGTTGTTTTGTAACTGTTTTAGCAATACCTTTTGAATGACGTCCTTCAAATTGTCTTGATAATAAATTACCTAACCAACGTTCTAATAATGGTGTAACACCACGTAAAAAAAATAACCATATACGCCAACCAGGTGCCCATATACCACAACCAGGTCCTTTACCAACAGGTCCCGTATTAAAACGATAATAAATTAAATGTTTTAAATCTTTACATAAACGTATTTGTCTCATTAATTTATATTTATAACGATACATGCCAGTTAATTGTCCAACATGTGCAAATGTATATTGTAAACCATCAGCTAATTGAAATGCATCAACATTACCTAAACGATATTGTACATGACTATCAACAATTAATTTAGTTAAACGTAATATTTCACGACATAAATGAAATGCATTTCCAAAACGTGATTTTTTACGTTCTTTTGTTGTTAATGTTTTAACTGGTTTTAAATTAAAATTATAATCCAAATGAAGATAATTTAAATTTTTACGATGTATTAATAAATTTAACATATTATAACCTTGACGACAAACTTGTAAACCAACTTCAACCCAATCTAATGTTGTTGATTGAAAAAATTTTGTTGATTTAAATGAACGAAATAGATAACGTTTTTTTTGTGGTTTTGGTTTACGATGATGTAATGCATTTAAAACAAAACATTTTAATAATTTTTGATATGATACACGTACTTTAACTGGATGTTCACTTGGACAATGTTCAAGATACCATGTTTTAACTAATGGTATATCAATAGCACGTCGTGTACGACCTGAACGAAGATTAAATGGACGTGGTGCCCATAATAATGCAATACCATTAGCTGTATGATCAGTATATAATGGTAAACCAGTTAATAATGGTTCAAATTCTTCAGGTAAAATAAATTCTTCATCATCATCAAATTGTTCTTGATTTTGTAAATCAATTTGTGCATCAATAGATTTTATTGCATGACGATGTGCTATTGGATTTATTAATGGATCAAAATAAAATGCTGGTAAATCAGGATCTTCTGTTTTAATAAATACAACATTTGGTGTATGATACCATGCAAGATATACTTTAAATGGATATGAATTATATAAATATGGAAATGCAATACGATATTCTGTACGTATTGGTTGACGTATAATTATTTTATTTATATCATTAAATTCATTCCAATCTTCATCACTAAAAATAAAAGAAAATTTTTATTTGTTCTTTGCCTTATTTAAAAAAAAATAAAAAAAATATTTACTTTGGATTAATATCTTTAACAAGTGGTTCAAATTTAGGACCACCAGGTATAGCAACATTAAGTGCTTTGGCAGTAAAAAATGATTTTAAATCAAATAAATAAAAATAATTATCATCAACAAGATCAGTTAATAATTGATTACCCATACGATAAAGTGTTGAAAGAATTGGTAATGTTAATTGCCATCGACGATATGTTGAACCGTTAACCATTCTAAAATAAATCAATCCTTTTTATGAATAGGCGTAGATTCCATCTAATACTAACAAGAGGAACAAAAACTTGTATGTCATTAAATAACTGATAGGTCAAATTAGATTTAAATTATCAGAAAGTATATTTTCAATTTTTCTTTTAATGTCTACTGGAATACCACTGTGCCCGTGATCAGTAAACTACAATCTGGCATTAATGAATGCCATCGGACGTGATCGGAGAACTTGCCGTATTCTATAGAAAAGTGCTGGAGATTGATAAAACTTTGACGTAGTATTTCGGATCGAAATGTCTTCAGTGAATAGTTACACTTTCTCATTGAGAAAACAATAAGATGATACTCGGAAATGACCGGTAAAATACAAATACATTCTGATACAAGATTTGCCTGTATGCTTTCATTTGGATATGAGTGCATAATCTGTATTAAAATATTTATATTCTCTGAAAAAAAACTTACTTTGTATCTGTTAATGGTTTATGATCATAAAACCATTCATAAATAGCTTTATCTTCTTCTGGATCTAATTGTAATTGTATTGCTTCTAATGGTTCAACATCAAGAATATTATCAGCATAATCTAATGGTGGTTCTTCATCATCAAATGGTGGAAAACGCATACGTTTAAAATGTCTTCGATCACGTTTTTCACGTCTCATCATAATCCACATTGTACCCCATTGTGCAATAAAAACAGGTTCAATAACCCATGGAATTTCATTAACAAATGTAATTGCACCTGTTATATGATAAATAACTTTAACATTACGTATTTGTTCCCATGGCATAGGCATATTTTCAAGTAATTTAAGTACAGCATGTGGCATATATTTGAGTGCACCCAAATAAACACGTTTATCATGACGAAATTTTCTATTTGTCATATCACCATGATCACGAATGATTTTTCTTATATGTTCAGCTGGCATATCTTCTTTTTGTATATCAGTAAAACCAAAACGTCGTTTATCAGCATAACGCTTTGTTTGTAATTGTTGCCAACGACGTGCTTTTTCTTGTAAACGATCTTCACTCATATAGTCCATTGTCATAGATGTACTTTGTTGTTGTTGTTGTTGTTGCTGCTGCTGCTGTTGTGGAGTTGTTCCTGTTGTCGGTAAAACAGGTCGTTGTAATGGAATTGTACCTTGTGTTGGTTGTTGAACAAACACAGGAAATGGTGCGGATTGCATCATTACTGGTACTTGATTAAGAAGTGGAACTGGTACAGAACCAGGTGGTACAAGAATAAATTGTGGCTGACCACCAGTAAATCTTGGATCCATATTGGTGATCTGAAAGATGAAATGTAATTATGTAAGATAATTGTATTGCGTTGTTTTTATGAAATGAACAAAGAATAGAAATACATGTATTCACCATCTTTCTTTTACAACAGTCTTTTCCTCTACATAATATGATAACTTTTACTGACATCTATTATAAATATAGATGATTATTTTTTTATTATTCCATGAATGATCTTATTTTATTTTGAAAAATATTCATCATTCTTTTAACTTGAATTTTATATAAAGTTTGATGATTTTGATTTGTAATTTTAATTGGTTAAATAAGTAGGCATTTCGATTTTACCCTGGTGATGATTCTGCTCAAAACTATTCAGCTGGAACGTGTCATTGGCCCACTTGCTCCACGTCATGCTTTGACTTTCATGCATATTTGTTCTGCGTTTTGTCCTTTTACGCATGCGCCAGATAATTTTGCATCTATGTATACATTTATCTATATGTGCCGGTCGACTGAACACAATTTGTTTGCTCGCTAGCGTCTTTTTACCTATTTGATGTCATTTATATTTTCAACGCATAGGTAAAATATATAGCGGAAGAGTCGATCAATAATGCCTGAATATTCGAATGTTGAAGTTACATTATTGGATGATCAATTATCAAAAGATCGACAAGAAACAAATAATGTTTTATCAGTAAAAAAAGATACGAAAACTACTTATTCTCTAATTTTCCAACGAGGTAAAATTTTCATTGATTTATGCATTGTCTCTTTTTTTTCTCTCTCGTATCCATGATAAGCAAATTGCATTTTTCGTTTAGATTCATCGGATGTATTGAAGATTTCTGTTGATAAATCATTTGAAAGTATTCGATCTGGTTCAGCTGGCATTATTATCAGTTTACCTAAACAAAAACATCTTACATATTTATTGAAATTTTCTACGCGAGAAGGTAAATTTTGTTTTAACAAATAATTTATTAAATAAATCTAGTTGATTAAAAACAAGCAAATAATTTAATAAGTGAATTATAGAAAAAAAAAAAAAAGATGTCAAATAGAATCTGTTCTTGTGCTTATCTCTTTTGTCAAAAACAAAAAGTAAAAATAGAGAACTGTTAATTGAATAGTTTTTACATTTTAAAAAATCGACGTGATGCAAATCATTGATTTTAACATAGAAGAGAATTCTTCATTTTGCATTATTTCTTGTTTACAATGCATTCATATTTAAATATTTTTGTTTCTAGATGCAACCAGTTTCAATACACTTCTTGGATTTATTAGATCTGGTAAAGATATTGATGATTTTGAAAATTCTCAATTTGACGAGCGAACAGATGACTTCTCAGCAGAACAATATTTTCATGTAGAAAATCTTCATCTTTCATAAGACAAAATTCTATTTGTTTTTTTTTTTTTTTTTAAATTTAGTTTTACAGTTGTTTATCTCAACAACAAAATATGATGCAAGATTATATTCGTACTTCAACATATCAACGAGCTATTCTTGATAATGCTATTGATTTTTCTGGAAAAGTTTGTATCCTCGTTTTTTTTTACTCTTACAAGGTTAAATAAAATCAAACTTATTTTATATAGGTTGTCCTTGATGTTGGTGCTGGTTCAGGTATTCTTTCATTTTTTGCTGCTCAAGCTGGTGCACGTAAAGTTTATGCAGTTGAAGCAAGTTCTATGGCTGAACATGCTAAAGTAAAAATTCTCTTTTCTTATCTTCATTAAATATTTTGAAAGAAAATTGTTTTTTTTTTCTTTAGGCTCTTGTTGAAAATAATCATTTAAGTAATCGTATTAAAGTTATTTCTGGTAAAATAGAAGATATAACATTACCTGAACAAGTTGATGTTATTATATCTGAACCCATAGGTTATATGTTATATAATGAACGTATGTTAGAATCATATATTCATGCTAGAAAATTTCTTAAACCAAATGGTAAAATGTATCCAACAACAGGTGATCTTTATGTAACACCATTTACAGATGAATCATTATATATGGAACAAGTTAGTAAAGCTAATTTTTGGTATCAACAATCATTTTATGGTGTTGATTTAACAACATTACGTGATAAAGCATTAGAAGAATATTTGAATCAACCAGTTGTTGATAATTTTGATGTACGAATATGTTTAGCTAAACCAACTAAATATTCAGTAAATTTTTTAAATGCAGCTGAAGAAGATTTATATGAAATGAATATTCCATTATCATTTCCAATGACAACAGCAGCTGTTGTACATGGTTTAGCTTTTTGGTTCGATATTTCATTTGATGGAACAAGGTTTATTATTTATTTTTGAATAATAAAGAGAGAGAAAAATAACTAAATGAATTTGTTTTTTTTTCTTCAATGTAGTTCTGAAATATGGTTGTCAACTTCACCAACTGAACCATTAACACATTGGTATCAAGTTCGTTGTTTATTTATTAAACCACTTACAGTAAGTCAAGGACAAGTTCTTAAAGGCCATGCAATATTAAATGCAAACAGAAGGTAAACAGTAACGTTGTTGTTTTATTTTTATTGATTTAAACTTAAAATTTTTCTTATTGGTTTTCTTTTTTTAGACAAAGTTATGATGTTGAAATGTATCTTGAAATTGAGGGTACAAATATATCTGCTGAAAATACAGTTGATCTTAAAAATCCATATTTTCGGTTTGAATTTTATTGTTTAATTTGCTTTTAAAAACAATTCTTATTTAGATTTTCAAATGGATCAGCACCAATTCCACCGGGACAATATCATGATTCACCAACAGAACAATATTGGAATGAACTACCAAATGAACAAATAGCTCCTGGTACTGGCATTCATCCGAATGCAAATCCATATTCTCAAAATTGCAATATTAATAACAATTTGAATTCAAGCGGTGATTATGATGGTACTAAAGTGGCTACCGATTGGGGATGGTGTTAAAGAGTTCAAACATCATTCTAGTTGTTTGCATTTTTAAATTTTTTTTTCTTTCGTTATATTTTCCAATAATGCATCATGCCAAGTTCTTAGTTCTGTGATCGCTTTAGAGTGTTTGTTATTTGATTTTTTTTTCTAAACATGAATCAGTCTTCGCACTTCATATTTAATTGAGAAAGAGAGCGAAAAAACAAATTTACTTATACGAATATTAGAATGTCAAGATTGTATTTATGTGTAATGTGATCTGCCTTTCATTCCTTTGGTTCCATTGAACAAATGGAAATGAAAGATTCTGTGATATAATTATGATCACATTGAAGCGCTTCTATAATTTATGAGTAGAATTTAGTATTAAAAAAAAAGAAATTAATGCTTGTCAAAAAGGAATCGAGTACGAGAGTTGAATTCTATTTGCTGCATTTAAAAAAAAAAAAACTTTGAAATTCGTTCTCTGATAGTTGTTTAAGCCGGACTGAAAAATGTTGTCTTTGTTAGTTTCTAATTGTTTATATACTATTCTTATACTACTTTCTGATAGAGAACCTTTACAGTTAAGTTCCAGGTGGTCTTTGCAAAAAATAAAATAGATAAATACAATTATGAAGACATTTATATGTATGGTATCTTTTTTCAGATTAACTAAATGAAAAACAACCAAGGTGGTTTAACTTTGATTTTCAGATAATAAAAGAAAAAAAATAAAGTTTCCTATTTGGACAGAATGCGAATTTAAACGAAGAGTGTAAAATCCTGAACTCTTAATCGAATATAAGATAAATATTCCCATGTTTAAATTCTAATAAAGTTGCTAAATATCGACATAATCCTTCAAAATCTATAACAAATATTTTTCTCTTATCTTCACATTTAGAAGTTAGTTGAGAAACGATTTAGAGCTAGATATGAAACTAGTATCGACTTCCGAATTTCAGTCCAACTGACCTGCTGGTAGTAGATAGACTAATCTATTTTATTTACTTTCTTGCTCTTATCATTAAAACTTATTCAAACTTTCTATTAATTTTCGTAGTATTTCGTCGAAAGTGTGCGATGAAATTTTGGTCCAATTCGGCTGCCTTAAATAACACTAACTAGAAAGAGAACCATTGCTAACTGTCATCTAGTGTCGTGTCCGTTAGTATATCGGATCAGTTTCATTTTCTGCACTGATCATTATTTTATACGAATGTGTTCGTGAACAAGACTTAAATTTTCATTCGATTAAATTCCATAATTACTTTTAGACATTAATTAGTGCGTTAAATTTAAGAAATAGTTTTTAAAAAAGTAGATTTATTTAACATGAAAATTAAACAGATCGATACATGCGGTAATCGCAAAAATTACCGTTACTAGATAAAAAGCACCTAAATTTTAATTTTTTACTCTCATAGTTTGATCAAAAATAGAGTATGTTGAGTTCTGATTGCAAGAACTAATTAATCAGAACTTGGTCGGCTTCATGCGATGGAGCTATAAGGTCAACATAGATCTTTTCTTCAAATGAGGATATCTCAACATAGCAAATAAATATCATTCTAGCCGTCTGAGAAATGTCTAAGGTCCATTAGTCACTGAATACAAAAAAACTAGAAAAAAGCATCTCGTTTCTTCGGACAAGCTCGTCGACTTTGATAAGAAAATTCCATTGAGAGTATCAAAGTACTGTTTGGTCAGATCCAAACCTTTAGGACTAGATGAGCTCTACACTAAATCTATCCTTCGATAGCTCAGTGGTACCTCTATCACCCATAAAAAAATCCTTGTCACTTGGTTTTAGTTTGTCTTACTTATGAAATATTTCTTGTATTATCCTCACATGAGAGTTGCTAAAAATCGTTGAAAAGTAACTGATATCTTCAGATAATTTTAACCGTTTGTCTTGAAAGTTTTTTTTCCATAGAACATCGTGCTCTAATCAAATTTTTCTTCGAAATTTGACGATTGTGACCATCTATGAAGAAAAGATCTATATTGGGATTGTCCTAGACATTGAAGCTTCCTTGCCCTTCAAAGATTACAGTGAATTGAAGTGGCCTATCATATGACATAGTATAGACATGCAAATTTTATTTGTTAGTAAGAAAATGCTGATTAATACGCTTAGATATTAGAAAATTAGAAAAATATTAGAAAATTTAGTTTTCGGTCCTAGGAAAAAAAGGAACAGTGTTTTCATCAATGGGACGTTGTCGAGTTCTATTTGTAGTCAAATTATTAGACAAAAGAATTGAAGTTTTTGCACTTTTTACTCAGTCGTAGAATTTCTCGAGACTACTGTATTTTTTAGTAATTCTCTTATTCTTCATTGTACAGGAAATTTATTGAACAATATAATTACAACTTTTCAACCAAGAAATAATCAGCGTTATACATAACTATGTCTACCTTCTTTTAATCATTCTAATAATCCGAATATATCTTCATTGATGAACAATGTAAGTTATAAAAAATAAGTTCATATCGGTTTCGATTATTTATTATCTATAGAAAATTTCGAATCAATACGTTGCATTTGCTAACTCAAAAAAAAAAGAAAATTCTCTTTCTCAACAATCAGATACCACAAGATAATGTGGAAAACAAAACAATAAAAAAAGAAACATATTTTCTATTTTATTTCTTAGTATATTTTTTTGTGTTATATGTCAGAAGAGCATATTTTTTTTGCGTATGTGAATGCCTTTTTTTATTATTGAAACAAATAAACGATTGTCAACACTCTGATTTTTTTGCAGATAATTAAATAATATTCTTATTTATATTAATTAAATCAAAATTCGAAGATTTAAGTAATGATATTTTAATAAATATATATATATATTTTGATTTATTTATTTATTTTTTTCAAATTAAATAAAACGTTTAAATAAAATTATTAATCATTCACATTTTATTTTATGTTATTTTATAAATTTTTACTTATTCATATTATAAACACTAACAAAACAATTAATATTATAATATTTAACAAATTTTCTTGTGGTATGTTAGTTAACTTTCTAACAAATAACATTTGATTAATTAACGAAAATAATTGTGCGAAGTTTTTGTCATAAAGTAAACTTGTTTGATAATGATGGAATTAGTTTAAATGAATTTTACTTTAGATCAAATGTATTATTAAGTATATCGAATTTAATTCACGTAGGTAAATGAAGCAAGCAAGATGAATAGCAGTTTTTTTTTGTAATAAATAGTCTTTTATATCATGTTAATAGCAGTACTTAAAATTCAGAAATTAGAAATTCAATGGTAATTGAGTTATAATTTAAGATATTATACAGTGACGATGGCTTGAAATACTGAGATATCCCAACCCCACTGAAGAAGTTACAAAGATTAACTCATACAATACCAATTCAGGAGCTCGGAATAGTGAATTTCAGTCGATTTTCTCGAAGTCTTACTATTTCAAAGCATTCTAAAATGAGGTGGATTGAAACACTATCATACACAACCTCACTACTGAGCTAGCGAGATTGGCACATGTAATTCTGATGTGAGTGCTTCAAGCACTGAATTCCATTTGAATTTCCATTGTTAATTTTTCATAATCAAAAATTCAAGGCAAAAGTACAATCAGAGATTTTTTATAGAAAAATTGTATTTTTTTGAATCGTAGTATTTTTTATCAGTCATTCTTCTCTGACTACTAAAAGCTAATATTTTTATGAAACAATGCCATTTTTCACGGAATATAAATCATTGTCATCTGAAATAAGAAAATTACCTACTGTGCAACAACACAGACATAATTTATCTTGAATAATTTAATCGTCATTAGTATATATATCGGCAATATTTACATTCAAACCGTATTAGTATTGAAAATTTTATTAACTATGATTATAGCAAAGAAAAACTTAAAGTAATTTCATATAACTGATTTCGATATATGATAATGATGAAATATATCTTAATTCATAAAATCCATTAATATAAATTACAGTCAAATGATTTTTTTTTTGTATTGTTATTTATTTATTTCTATTGTTGTTATTAAAAAAAATTCTTGAAAGTTTACATAATACTTTCTTTTTATTATTTGAAGATGTGATTATATGCAACAAAATGATTCCTCAGATAGCATCAACTGAAATTTGTTCATCGTTTTGGGATTCAACACCTATCGGTCGATCATTTTCTCTTCGTTTATGTCAACATGAACAATTATCACCACAATTAATACTTGATGATAAAGTATTTCGTTCAGCCGTTCGTTTACAAAATAATTCAACATATCGTTCACAAATAAAATTTATTGGAACATTAATAACAGATGATGAATCACAACGTTTAACATATGTTATCGATCGTTTAATATTAAAAAACTCAACAACAAATGAATTTCATAATCATCAACTATTAACCGGAGAATTTCTTATACCTATTCAATGTAATAATGATAATCAAAATTCAACAACAATAAATAATTTCATACAGGATGAAACTAGAGTAAGCAAGTTAACTGATATAACTATCTTTACTTTTCTAGCATTAAATTTCCACACAGAATAAAAGTGCACTGGCCTTATAACTTTTTCCACAAGTTAAACGTTTGGAGATGAAGTTTTATTGCAATTAGATTATTTTTTGTGTTGTAACTATCATTTAATTCTTTCACAAACACAAAAGTGTACTAAATTCGATAAATAGGAGTTTTCATACTGTCTGAGAACTTTAATAGTTATCGACTAATCGAAATTTGTCTTCTATCTGTCAACAATCATTCGTGCAACTGAATCCTTTGAGCACCAGTATACTTTATAAAGTCTCCTTTTTTTTCAAGTTTCTGGATGTTTTTATTGCTTGCAAATACAAAACTATATCGAAGTACTGGTTTCTCTAGGTCATAGAAGAGACTTCAGTGCATATATCTATATACGAGCTATCACCTTAATGAGGTTACTCAAGTAATAATCTTGATGGGGCTTTTTGGAAAGTCATCTCTATGCTAAAAGAAGAGGAAGACAAATAATGCACTTTTTCGGTCCTCAAAATATTTCGGTTTTTCGTCTTGGAATTAAGTTAAGAGTGGCTCCTAATGATAATCCAAAGGTTGATTTGGCGACAGCTCTCAACCAAATTTTGACGTACATCTGTACTTCCTAACGAGGATGACCAAAATACGTCTTCGTCATCCTCGTGAAAGTATAGAGATAGACCTAAAATGACTTTAAAGAGTTTTTTAGAAAATTTTTGATGAAAATATCAATAATACACACTGTCTGTATTAAATATGAAATCTCACAACACGTTTGTCTATTGTTTGAGCCACAGTACTCAAATCGTTTAATAATTTGTTCGGACAGCATTTGAAGACGCAACTCGAAAGCTGACTATTTCACGTGAAAACAGCTTTTATTGAAAAATCCAGGAAAAATTTTAAGAATAAAGACCCACAAAAGCAAATCATTCTAGACCTTTGTATTATTCTCGAGCACTCATGAAATAGACATCGTCTCGATCGAACAACCATTTGCTACTTGAAGAGGTTTCTTCATCAACTTCTATTCTGTGATAATTTACCTATTCATGCAGAAATTATTTGAATTATCTCTATGTAGTGCAAGAATGAGTTCTGCAAGTAAGATAGATTTTATCAATGATCGATTTCTTGATTCTTGAAAAGTAAAGGTTATACGATTGAAATTTTATCATGATATTTATCTTATGTGTTACATAACAAGTTTTATTTTTTTATTATTGTTTTGTATAGGTAATTGAAGATTATTGTCAATCGTCATTACCAATTGAATTACATCGATATTCATATATTTGTGGTCAAATGTCTTCAATGAATTCGACATCTTTAAATATTGATGTATCATTTAATCTTATAACAATAAAAAATACTTTTAAATTAACACCAATTAATCCTGATTGTATTCATATATTACCTACAGCTTTATTTAAAAAACTTAGTTCATCAAAAGAAAATACTGTTCATATCAATCAATCACATTTTGGTTATTGTAGTTTAGATCGAACAACAAAAAATAAAATTTTATTAATACTTGAAAATGATCCACAAGTATGTTCATTACCATTAGTTGGAATGTAAGAATACAACAACAAAAAAAAAGAAATAGTCTTTTAAAAATATAAATATTCTTATCTATTTTTTAGTTGGGTATCGAATATTATCAATATTCAATGTGCATTTGTTTGGGCAGCATGTATTCGTTATTGTATGAATTCATCATTAAAACAACGTCTTCGTTCTGGAATCAATTCTCAACAATCATTTTTACTTGCATGTTATTTATCTACATCATATAATCAATGGATTTTTTATGAAGTTTGTTTAGTAACAACGAATTCATTATCATCAATAACTATTGATTATGATTTATGGAAATGTTCAAAAAACATTATCATGCCTAATTCATCATTAAATCATTATGATGGAAATTCTAGTACACAAATTCCATACGATTTTGAATTTAGACGTATTTATGATGAACCAAAAAATTCTCCTGTATTAAAAAATCATTCAGAAAATATTTCTTTTCCTATTCAACATCAAACTATTCAATCACTTAACAATACTCGATTTTCAACGAATGTATCTTTTCCTTCTACAGAAATATTTTCAAATGGTAACGATAATCATTATCAAGATACACTTCCATCAACTAATACAAATGGAAGTTTATTTGGTGTTCCTCGTTTACCACCAAAACAATCAATAGATCAATCACCTTCATGGGATTTATTAATAACTACAACAATAGAAACTCCTAAACGAAATGTACGTTCATTAAATTCATCTATTAGATCAAAACAATGTGGATCTCTAGTATCATCAACCATTAGTGATGATATTCAATGGAAGGAAGAATTAATGGAAAGAATGCGATCATATGATAATCATATTCAATCATTAACTGCACTCGTTGCTCAACTTTTAGCTAATCAAAATCAACAACAACAAAATCATTTAACATTAACACCAATAAAAGAATCTACTAAACGTGATATTGCTGTACAAAGTGAACCATTATCATCATGTTTAAATGATTATATTGGTGAATCATCATTAATGATGAAGAGTAATCGATATCGTTCATCATCATCGAACATTGAAAATTGTCAACAACAAACATCATGCATAACTACAACTGACACAGTAAGTTTGCTTCATATGTATAACAAGTTATCAAACAGTAATATGAGAAAAATGCTCGTTCATTTTTCAATCTCTCAAGGGTAATCTCTCTCTTATTGACTACTTTTAATACTTCGCGAGAGTACAATTTGTCAAGTTCAAATTTTTATCACATCTATATTACTGAAAATGGTCAAACCTATATTCGTAGAAAAAAGTTTTGAAAGCAAGTCTTTAGTAGTTTTTGATGGAATCTTCAAGAGCCATCAGACCCACCTATGATCCCTGTCTTACTTGGTCCAACGAGGTTGAAATTTTTTTTCGAAGACACCTGAAACAAAGCCTCAGAGATGTTTCTGAGCCTTTTTTTAAACATCTCGATCTTTCAAATTTAATTTACACAAAGCTGTTAGCGCAGTTCTTGCGGAATTAAAATGTGAAACACGACATGGCTGCTGTTGCTAATCACAAGGAGATTATTTCATTGTGTCTATCTTGGAATACATTTCTTCATCCTTTTTTTTACTTAATCCTTAAGAAATACAATAAGGAAGTGGTTGATATTTAGTTATGAGCTGCTATTAATATACTGTCTATGATCATATATCAACGACGTCTATCACGAACTGTAAGGGTGAATGAAAATTTTTATCCCATATACTTAAAACTACTTTTAGATGGTTTATGACAAAATATGAAAAGCACAAGCTCAAAAACCGTGTTTTCGGCTGATCTTACTGTATTTTTCTGATTCAAAATTGCGAAATTGATGTTTGTCATAAAGTTTTACAAAACCTAACACTTTGTCTCAGATACCACAAAAAACAAGTTCAGCCCGATCAGACAAAGTAAGACCTAGACTTTAAACAGATCCGTTAATCTTTGAAGAACCCTTGAGAAAAACTACTGAAAACCTGGTTTTTAAACGTTTTTCTCGAATAAGAATTCCATCATTTTCAATTGTCTAGCTGTGATAATAATTTGAGCCCGACACGTACTCTCGTTAAGAACCACAAGTGTAATCCTAAAGAAAGGCATACCATGAAAGGAGCCTGTAGAAATTTGAAAACATTGTTACAGAATCAACATTTTTGTAGGACTGCTGGTTTAAGACTTATGAACGAATATTTTCGAGACTCATAAATTGACTTCGAACTAGCATTAATACGCCAAAACTTTACCTAAAGTAGGAGAAAAAAAAATTTTCAGATACGATAAGTGAAAGAGCAAACATTTCCATGTAAAATTGTATAACTAATGGTTGGTTTCTTGCAAATCATTTGTCAACAGTGAGTATTTTGGTAAGGTACACCGTATCAATTTTCTCAATTTCTATGGAAAACAAACTTGCAAAGTAAAGTAAGATATTTCTGAATAACTGTTATCAAACTGTAGAAAACGATCCTATCTATAACTCTATGTGAAGAACATCGATACTATAAAATAAGCAGCAAAGGGGAGTAAAAATGCAAAAAAATATCGATTCACAACTTCTACATTATAACTCCAAGAGAAATTTGTTGAACCTATATCTATACGCTATAAAAAAAATTTGATTGAAACTCAATGTTTTCTAATTTCTGTAGACTCTCTCAAAAGATTGAAAAATGAACAAACATTTTGTCAACTTACTTTTCGATAATTCATTGTGTATTATTGTGAAATATCATTGTTTATTTTTTAAGATGCCATTTACTCAACTTCAAACACCATTGTCATCATCAGTTGTTCATCAACACGAACCTATGATCGATTACTCATCACTTCGTAAATCAACTACACTAATTCGATCGAAATCTCCTTCACCTCTATCAGCTTCTACAGATCTCAATCCTGTCGATATTCTCAAACCAATTTTTCAATTTATAGATAATCAACAACAAAAACAACAACAACAACAACAACAACAAAAATCTGCATCTTCATCAATGACAACATATAATTCAACGGATGCAACATTATTAAAATTAAATGATAACGAAACTGAACGTCAAACTGAAAATATGTTTCAGTTAGCTAATGTCATTCAACAACAACAGCATGTGATGTCAACAAGAACAACTGGCATAAGTCTTATTTCGAATGGTGTTCAAATGCAGTTTATTAATCAACAAAGTAGTACAACTACTGTTTATCCAAAATCACAATCTGGTCGTACATCTCCACCTCCTATTGAACTTCTTCCAACATCTCCACAAAAATCTGAAAATAATCTTTCTATTGAAGTTCATAGTTTAGAAATGAAATATCTTGAAGATGATCAATTAGCAGTTGCGATTGAATGTGATCGACAATCGCAAAAAACACATAATGTAGTACCACAAACATCTGAAATTGTTAATAAAAGTTTATCATTTGAAACTCAAGAATATTTACAAAGATATGGTCTTTTTACAGGTTCTAATAATTAGAACAAAAAACAAACAATATTATATATCAATAAATGAAAATTATCTTTAATTACTATTATTTATATTTATATTATAATTCCATACTCAGGTCATACATATGAAGATGCATAATCCGTCCATATAAATCGTTTTCTATTGTTCATATGTCTTATCTTTGTTGTTTCCTTTTTTTTATTATTATTTCTAATATAAGTGAATGAAGAAAAGAATTGTTCTTCTTCGTGCCTTGATTGTAATTCAGGTATTTTTTTTTTCTATATAATCATAAATAAAAAGAAAACTATAATAAATTTATCCGTTCTACATTTATTGGAGATTTCGTTTTTTTTTTCCAAAAAATAGTTTATTGTGATAAATGAGAATCATACTATGGTCATAGTAGTAAGTCCATTCGAAAAGCATGTGGTGGATTTTTCGGTAGATGCCCATAATAATTTGGTACATATTGAGTTTTTCGAAAGCCAGCTTTTTCATATAAAGCCATTGCTTTATAATTCTCAATGTGTACATGTAAATATATAAATGTATATCCAGTTTGACGTGCCCATTGAATGATTGCTGCCAATAATTGTGTACCTATACCATGACCTTGATTTGATTTTTGTACACCAAATAACATTATATAGAGACCTGAATTATTTCTAACATTGTTGACCAATGCACAAGCAATACATCGAGCTTGTTGTACATCATATGCACAAAAAATATGATGGACTGTATAAATTGTACTAATCATCTCATCAAAAGGATATGTTGAACCAAAAAGTGGGTGAAAAACATCTAAGATATCATCTAATGGAAATTTAATGTTGTGATAAATTCTAATAGTTGAATCATTTCTGTCTCTGTTATATATTCCAGGAATTAATGTAGACATACTAAAAAAAGAAAATATGCGAATGAATATGATGGTTACAAATGTTTGTTATGTTCGTACATGTGTGACAAAGGCGACGAACATAAAAATGATATGGTTGATTGGTTATATATATACACATATATATATATATATATATGTTAGCGTCCAATCTCAGACTCGCCTAGGCAGATCTCGGATCCGAAAATGGACTAGTCAAATGTCGAATCGGTAGAGAAGTTTTTCACGAAAACTTCCATTAGTCTTTGAATAGGTGTTGCACTCAAATCTTTGTCGATGAACTGTGTTGAAGCAATGACATTTCAGGTAAAACAATTGTCGATGCAGAAATTAAATTAGGATTCGTAAGGTTATCGACAATTTCCGATCAATGCTGTAAATCGGTAGAAAAATATCCATAACTTTATAAATTCTGCTTCAATTTCTGTATCGAATTTTGTTTACCTTGAAGTGCAATCGTTTTAAAACAGCTAATTAACAAGATTTTGAATATAATATCTACATAAAGACTACAGGAAGTTTTAACGAAAGTCTGTCTCCTTATCTAACATTCGATTAGTCCATCCTCGAATCCGAGATTGGACGCTGACATATATATGTGAGTGAATTGCAACTTTTTGGTATGATTGAGATTTATACTGTATTTAGCTAATAACTGATGTTTCTCTCGATTGATTGGAACGATTCTTTTCATATATTATTTTCTTTTCAACACTCCACTGCCAGATCAAATTTCAGTTCTTAAATTGATACTGTCGCTGAGTTATGAGAGATACATTATAAAAAAAGTCAATTATTTTTACTAACATATGCACAGAAAAGAAAACTTCGCCACGACAAAGCAAGAGGAAAATATTATAATTAGTCTATTTTGTATAGCGTTCGACGCTCTATCAAAATATAACTCAGTTAATGATAATTTCTTCTTTTTTCCTTCGTCCGACGTACACAATGTTTGATAGACACTTGTGTTTTCGTATAGAGTGACATAAACTTCATTCTAGCTTTGTCTATAATAAAGCCGGCGGCGTACAGACTATAAAAAGAAGGAGAGCCTTTACAGAAATAAACTGATGAATAACTCTTCCTTCTTACCAGCTTTTTTACGAAAACAGACCATTACAGGTCATCCTGATTAAAAAGTCATTATACTCATTTTGCAGAATAAATATTTGGAAATTATCTGCTATAGAACTCTTCAATGAGGCGTTCAATGCGACAAAAATTTTCGCAGTAGACGTAAAACAAAAAGTTCTTGATCTTATTCAATTCAGGAGAAATTTACATGATACTAAAAAATGTAGAATGACGACTTTCCAGCAGAAATTTCTAGCTCTTTATATTCAGTGAAGTGTTAGAAAACTTTTGTCACGTAATACAAACATAGAGTATAATAAAATATATTCCATTCAAGAATTATTTAGGCCTATTATCAGTTTTTCATGTCAATCGTACTGTAAAGTTGCAATGCATTCCTGTATATGTGCCCGGCGTAGTATTATTACTTACCTTCAAAGAACCATCGATGAAAACCGTCCGAATAAATTAGCCATGATATATGTGTGTCGCATGATTCAACTGGATATTGAACGTGTCATCGATAACTTCGCAAAAAATAAAAAAATAGAAAACTAAAGTTTCTCGTATGATTTGTTTCTTAGCTGTTGTTGCTTTGTTTCCAGCCACCACTCCTTTCAAAATTTCCTGAATCCGTCCCTGTGATTGTGGACTTAGAGAGAATCAAAATCCGCTCTGTTCCGAGAGTTCTGTGAGTGAAGATGCACTTTTGAAAGTTTCACGAGTTCATAGCTTAAGGAATCCGACTACTGCTAGGCAGGTAGATCTTGACGAGTCGAGCAAAAATTGTCATACACTTCGAGTTTCTGAACGTTGTTTTCCATGGATTACTAGAATCAATATGGTCCCGATGTTGTCCTCCTTTCTCCAAGATACTATATGCGATCGAGCTGGACATTTTTTTTGCAGATGCAAAATACTGAGTTAGAATGAGTATCTTTTTATTTTTTGTCTTTTGAATAGAAAAGCTAAAATATCGAAGGCATTCTACAAGTTAACAGAACAATATTTTTTGACACTAAAAAAAAGAAATATCCATCTCGAATAGTGTGTAGTATATGAGAAAAGGTTCCAGCTTAGTCAGATGTATTACGTTGGAGAAATCAAGGCGTTTTCTGCAGTATTTCTCATGAAACAGTTGGTTTGAGAAAAACATGAAACAAATCCTAGTAGTTGCTAACTCAATTTCTTGTCAACTCCAGTAACACCCATTGTTTGAGCTCACATTGGGCATACAGGCAGGTCTCAATGAAAATAGCAAAAGTGTGAAAGGATTCGTCCACATAGACCTTTAGCACTGAGTTATGACTGTTTTACTGATTTTCTGACCCATTTTGAGAGAGTTTCCGGAAGACACAATAATAAAATCTTGATCTATATTTCTGCCTTGATGAGTCGAATAATCCTTAGAATACTCTGAAAGTTTCAGTTGAAAAGTATGCTCCTTCATCAAGTTAATGAAATTTTAAGTGATCTTGATTTTTGTCACATGTAATATGTCTGCGGCACAGAGCTATTTTTGCCAAATTCAACATCTTGACGAAGGAACACTCGTTTTGGTTAAAACTTTTGGAATTTTTAAGAGTTATTCGGCCTATCTATAGTCAAAATTTTAGATCAAAACTCCATTATTCAGCCTTCCAAAAAGTACCTAAAACTGGGTCAAAAATCTAGTAAACAAGTCATAGCTCGGTGTCAAAGGTCAATGGAGACGAACCCTTTTAGGCTTTGGTTATTCTCAATGAGAGGTGCTTGAAGATCTAATACGAGCTCAAACAGAGGTTATCACTTGGATAACTCCCTCATCAGTAGATGCATGCTACTTCAAACTATATGATAATTGCAAAAAATCAAAACTTTTCAGTCAGGAAAGGGGAGGGAGCAAAAATAGCCTTGATGTGAGTAAAAAGATAGTTATTTGAATATGAATATGAATAAAACTAAGAAAGAGTCACTAGTGATTTGATAATTTTGTTCTATTTTTTGAGTAATTATTATAAGGTTCTTACAACAAATATAGCTTCTTTGATTTCATCAAAACTCAATTACACAGCCATATGAATGGTAATATGCATAAATATTGAATACATTCAAGAACAATATGAAAGTCATCAGAAGATTCAGAAGGTTAATCTTTTTTCATCACAAAAGTTGTTTGCTAGACTAAGCTATCAATAAAAAATAAAGATTCAATTTAATATATCTTAATTTAATTTTTATTAGTTTTCAACAAAAAAACAAAAGGATATTTTATTGTTTTTAGATATCTTAACAATCCATTATAGATATTCGCAGTTTATGATGGCTGCCTCGTAGATGGTGCATACGATTCGTCTTTAGATTTCAAACCAAATAACCAATACACCGCCAGAATGGACGATACATATGTAAATGTAAATGCAGTGATCATTAAATTGACCGAATACACTTGAGCTAAAGCGAAAGCTGATGTAAATGTTCCGAGTAAGAAGAATGAAGTGACAATTAATAATCCAACAAGTATCATTGGAAGATGTTGATATTGTATGATACCTATCAGAAGAATAACTGCTAAAGCAACGCAGGCAATAAGTAGAAGTAAAGAAATTATGGATAAAGCAGCAGTTGACGAACGTCCCACAGCAAATACGCTAAAACCACCCCCCCATCCTGGTGCTGCTAAACCAATGAGGCAAAAAAGCGTGGATATACTCGTAACTACGACAAGAATTATAAGTACTATACGTTCGTTAAGAAAGCCCATATTGGTGTGAAATATGAAAAGATGTGAAATAATGAATATTTAGTTGCAACATGTAACTATATAAATGTAACTTATCTTATCAATTTTGTGCTATATTTGAAACTTAACACAACTCAAAGAAAATGCGTTATAATAAAGTCTTATCATTTTTTCATGATGATGAATAAGTTTGTCAAGGATAATAAATATTTAAATAACAGTTGATTCGTGTAACCTTAACATTTTGAATCTTTTGAACTATATACTTTATAAGTTGTACATGTTCTAAAAATGTATAATAAGAAAAACGATTTGACAAAATCAATAATTGCCGGATTTAAATTGTTTTACACTATACATTAAATAATTTATTAGCCATTTAAATAATGTTATATTTAAGACGTTTTGATGATACACTTGACAGTAAAAGTCATATCACCCCAATAGATCCAAGGAAAAAGATTGTAAAGAATTTATTTTTGACATTAGTAACAATCTCAAATTCATATATCATAAAACAAATGTATAACTTCGTCTATTGAAGACAAGCATCAAAGTTTCATTTGTCTGTTACGTTCTCTCTATTATTACTCTCAGTCTGAATGTAGATCTTGAGAAAAAAATAATCAAACGGATATTTATATTAAATTTTTTTCACATGAAACAAAAAAGAAAAACCTATCAAACTATTGAAATAGATATTAATCAATAATCGAATTGTTTTCTTTTTTTGGTTTTTTTTATAACAATAAGTTTCATAGAAATTGGTAACCTATGTAAACTAAAAAAGAAACGGGTTTCATTTAATTTCATTTGTAGGATGGCGTAGTCAATCGCTACAGAATTTCTTTTTTTTTTTTACATTGTAACATCTATTTCTCGTCAACGATAAAAGTAAATTCTTTAATACTTTCCTTACAGGTGAGACCACTAAGATCTGCTATCAACAAAGATTTCATTGATTTTTCTTTAGCTCGAGCTGAGCTATTCAGAAAATATCCACCGTTCCGGTATTTTTTTTTAGTGACTTAAGAGTTTAGCATTTTACTTGGAGATAAAG